CGCAGCCATTCCCACCCTGGCAAGCCCCTACTGCCCCAGTGTCTGTGTCCATTGGTTATGCTAATATGCATGCATACAGGTCCTTTGGTTGCTCTCTAACCCCTCCAACCTCCCCTGCTATTTGTCTCTGGATCTATTTTTGTTCATCAAATTATGTTGATCATTATATCCCACATATGAGTGAGATCATGCGATATTTATCTTTCTCCGACTGGCTTATTTCGCTTAGCATAATATTCTCCAGTTCCATCCATGTTGTTGCAAATGTTAAAAGTTCCTTCTTTTTTATAGCAGCGTAGTATTCCATTGTGTAGATGTACCAATTTTTTAATCCACTCATCTGCTGATGGGCACTTGGGCTGTTTCCAAATCTTAGCTGTTGTGAATTGTGCTGCTATGAACATAGGGGTACATATATCCTTTCTGATTGGTGTTTCTAATTTCTTGGGATATAGTCCTAGAAGTGGGATTACTGGGTCGAATGGGAGTTCCATTTTTAACTTTTTGAGGAAACTCCATACTGTCTTTCACAGTGACTGCACCAGTCTGCATTCCCACCAGCAGTGCACGAGGGTTCCTTTTTTGCCAGCTCTTGTCATTTGTTGATGATAGCCATTCTGACAGGTGTGAGATGGTACCTCATTGTTGTTTTGATTTGCATCTCTCGGGTGATTAGTGACTTTGAGCATGTTTTCATATGTCTCTTGGCCTTCTATCTGTCCTCTTTCGAAATGTGTCTATTTAAGTCCTTTGCCCATTTTTTTTATTGGATTGTTTATCTTCCTTCTGTTAAGTTGTATGAGTTCTCTGTAAATTTTGGAGATTAAACCCCTATCTGAAATATCATTGGCAAATATGTTCTCCCATGCAGTGGGCTTTCTTGTTGTTTTGTTGATGGTTTCTTTTTCTGTGCAGAAGCTTTTTATTTTGATGTAGTCCCATTTGTTTATTTCCTCCTTAGTCTCCATTGCCCTAGGACAGTGGTTCTCAACCGTGGCTGCACATTAGAATCACCTGGGAATCTTTTTAAAATCCTGATTTCTGGGCCTCATCCTCCGGAAATTCTGTTTCTTTGTTATGGGGTGGGAACAGGGACAGATCCAAAGACAGAGAAACAGCGATCAGACTTAATCCCCAGAGGGAAAGTAGGGGAGGGATGGGGCAAGGGGAAGAGATCAACCAAAGGACTTGTATGCATGCATATAAGCCAAACCAATGGACATGGACAACAGAGGGATGAGAGCTTGAGGGGAGAGGGGAGGATGGGGATTTAATGGGGGGGATGAGGACACATGTGTAATACCTTAACTAATAAAGAATTTAAAAAAAATAAAACAAAAAGTTATTTATTATGAAAAACAGAAAAATATGGGAGGATTGTTTTAAATTTACTTCAAATTTCATTCCAGTAGCTATAGTTTCTTGTTTTATACTTTAACTTTAAATTTTTACTTGCTTTTAGACCCTGGAATTTTTTTTTTTTTTGAGTTAGGTTACATATTCAAAGTTATTTTGCTATATTTTACCAAGTATTTCTATGTTTTTTGAGATGGGAGTGGGGTGTATTGTTTGGTGCAGCTCAGCAGTTCCAATTTCTCCTGTGTACTCGGAAGTTTATATATATGTATAAAATATGTTGTACATATTACCTAAAGATCTAGATATGAAAATTTCTCACAGTTTTCAGTAAATGTGTATAATGCATCTTCTGGTAAATGGAGGTATGCAGTTGTTCATTATTCACTTCACATGTGACCATTTTTACAGCATCTAAATAGGCGAAGCTACCACTCAGAGTTTCTTTTATTTAATTTAACATGGCATATACTAATACCATGTTTCTTCTGTGCAATCCACTGTTCTTCTCAGGGGTTTAGAAATATGAGAACGGATTCATTTGGTTCTCATATGAGCACTCTGAGTTAGGCACTATCATTGTCATCTTTGTTTTATAGGTGAGCCACAGAAAGTTTGGACGAGTTCCCTGGTTGGTAGTTGGCAAGTGATAGAATTAGTATCAAACCCAACCTCCCCTCCTATGTTCTCACTCACTTGCTTGCACAGGCTGCTCAGCCAGCCATTGGGCTCTATCTTTTCAAACCACATGTCCCTCCTATGACCTCGCCCAGCTCCACTCCCCTCTGTGTCTACATTCCTGTAACACTTACAAGTGTATACTGAACTAGATTCATATGTTCTCCTGTTTGCTTCCTTGCATCTTCGTCTTGTGTCTTTATTAATTTATTAATTTTTAACCCATATTTAATAAGCACTCGTTTCATGGTGGTGCTTTGTCAGGCATTTAGCATAAATGGGCATAAGGCAGAGACACCCTGTGTTCCCTAAGTCTCTCCCAGGTCATGTGCTTCCGTAAGTTCCCACATGGTGACTGTAGTCCAGGCCCTCACCATCCCTACTGCTGTACCAGCCTCCACATTCGTCGTCTTGCCTCCACC